AAGGGAAGGGCATGAAGAACAGGTTCCATGGCGTTTTTCTTTAGCGACTAAATCAACATCTTGCCTTCAGAATGTGTGATCTGAGTGACTCGTTTCTGAGCAGATTTACTTTAAAGATATGGCGCTTAGTCTGAAGAGTAGGCTCTCTGTTTTCAAGTGGATTTTCATCCGAATTCTTGCCTATCAACCACGATCGACGACCTGCGACACCGGGTACAAGCTCCTGAAATGAACATTTTAAGCCAAATCACGGGGCTCACGCGTTTTGGCAGAGTCCGGAGTTCAGATATCTGAGGAATCCTTGGTTACTGCAGTAGCTTCTTCAGAAGCAGACGACTGTGATGTTTTGGACGCGTTTGGCGAATGCTTCCAAAAAGGAAGTTGAAACAGCTACAACTGACCAGAAAGTCAGAATGACCAGGACATGTCCCTCGACAGACCCTGCTCCAAACTCAGGCTATTCACTGCTGAAGATCAGACGCTGACACCGGATACGAAACGTTGAAGACGTTGTCCTGCGCTACCGTCTTCTCTCCTGAAGGGCTAAACGATAATTGAAATTGACTTTCTGGTGTAAGGCGATCCACGAACCCTTGAAGGCCACTACGTCATTAGTTGACTGTTTCACTGACCACCGCAGGCTTTCACTATTGCCATAGTAGAAATATCGATAATATAATATAATTCGATTGTTCATTTATGCGTCGTTCGCTCATTCATCCATTCATTTTCGCATCTCATAGTCCTTCACTATGGTGATCCATCAGTTTAAATGTCTTTCAGAAGATGGTTACACTTTCTGCTGACTTTTAGGTGTCCGTATTGCAAATCTCCATGCCGGAAACCATGCCGTTTCCGTAAGTCACCGTGGTAGCAGTTTCTCGATCTGAAGTATGCAGAATACTCATCGATACTTCGCCACGAGACGCGATCCGTTACCGTATTCACTGGACGGGAGTGACTAATTGCCACCGGTGATAAACACGTTCTGCCAAAATCTCATTATGCATAAGAAAATACTTTGACACGTCTGATAATCAGCGATGGCCAAGTGGATGATATTTTTTGACTATGAAAGAAATCTGTAGCTGGTACAGTGCAACGCTGAAGTTCTATTTGGCCTGCAATGACAAAGGCCTAATGTCAGTATAGGTCTTTATCGTCCATGGGCAACCGGTTCTAAATTAAAACGTTAGGATTTTGGACATATGACAAAACTAGTTAAGATTGTCTGTTATATTGTGACTTTTAATCCGTCATGACTGACCTACGTGATTTCGCATCACATGCTCAAGAAACTAGAAGGTGACTTCATTCAATATACAGCTATGGGAATCTTGCTTTCCTATTAATATTTAATCGTAGCTGACTTCAATTCCACTC